GGAAGTTGATCTGTCAGCACTATCCTTATCTTCAGGGCAGATGTTTTTATTTTATTTGGCTTATAATTCCTTATTAAATGTAGTATTTCATCTTGATGTACTCCATCTTTGATATGATTTAAATCAAATTCCTCCTCATTATAATTCGCTTCCGATAGCGAAAAGAAAGTGAAAAGAGTGGACAGTGACAGGTTTTGAAAACGAAAAAAAAATTTCAATTGACAAATTAGTCGGTATTCTCGACACAGCAATTATAGGACTTGAACAGCGGAACTTTTGTAACTGAACAAGAAATTAAATTGTGGTCTGTTTAAGAATATTAAAGAGAATGTATTATCACATAAAAAACGAAGCAACCTTCTTAAACAACTTACATTGAAAGAAATGTTTAATAAAGTAAACAAATAAATATTAAGCTTTTTTTTTTTGTAAATTTTGATACCCTTTAGATCATAATTGTTCTTTATTTCATAAATTACGGTTTCATATTTTTAATTTTATAATTTCTGCATGCCATCTTACCAGATTTAAACTGATGATCTATAATCGGAATAACCGAGTCACGAGTCGAGATTAACGACTTGACGTATATATATATATAGATGTAATAAAACTGCATTACTATTAAAATAGGACTGCATTATTGTACAAGATAACTTGGTAGAGGAAAGTTGCAATGGATTGGTGGCAGTTCTCTGCATCACAATTTAAAGATTTTGCTGCGTAGCACTTCTGTTTATCCAGTGACAGTCACCGCATATGTGTGTGGCGCCGATGTGGAGACAGATCTAATACGGCAGTAACTGTGGAATGCCCATACTGCGCGACAACGTGGCATAATGGTTTGGGGCACTATTGCCTATGATTCCAGTTCACCTCTAGTTCGCATTCAGGGCACTATGACAACCCAACGATACTTGCATAATGTACTGCGGCCAGTGGAAATCCCTTACCTTCAGGGGCTGCCTAATGCAATTTTTCAGCAGGATAACGCCCAACCACACAGTGCTCTCATCTGCCAACATGCTCTGCAAGGTACACAAATGCTTCCCTGGCCACCGTACTCTCCTCACTTGTCACCAATCGAACATGTGTGGGATGTGATTGGACGCCGTTTGCAGACTCTGCCTCGTTCAGAAGACGAACTGTGACAAATGGTTGAAAGGGAATGGAGAGCCATCCCTCAGGACACCATCCGCACTCTTATTGACTCTATGCCTAGACGTGTTTCTTTGTGTATCGCTGTCTGCATCCTACTGAGCGGACGCCATTCTCGCTCTGTATTCTGACTATCATTTTGAAATAAGGATCACTTATTGCTACTTGCTGTCTCTGTCTTTTTTTCAAATTTCATTATTTTCTGACCACTCCTTCTTGGTGTTGCATTTTCAATGTCGAGCAGTGCATATATCTTCCAGATATTAAATAAAGTTTTTATATCGCCCAATTAGAACTAAATATATAAAATTTATTGGGGAAGGGCCTACTGTATTGGTAATTTAGCCATTTACATGAATGTGTACATTATTAACTTTACTGATGATACGAAAAAAGCAATTTTATGCTTTTGTAATTAATTATCTTTTACAGTCACTTACATTTAAGGTTTCTGAAGTTTCCCATCTTACACTGCACAGTTAAAATAAAAACTCTTCTCAGACACAGAATTCAATAAATTTCTCTGTCTCTCAGTCTAAAATGGGTCTTGACTATTTTACTTACCTATTATTACATTATCACACATTACAGTATAACGTTCATACTCAAAGAACTACTAAAATTCAAATCTGAAGTGCAATTACACAGAAATTAAAATTAACAATTATCAAGACACATGAACCGATTCTGATTTTAAATCATTAAAATATTTAAAGGTTTAATAATGTTATAAATCATTATAAAAATTATTATTGATTTATTATCAATTCCAGTTTAATATGTACAAAAATTTATCAGATTATATTCATAAATATTAGGTGAACATTAGCATCTAATTATTTTTGCATATAACTTAAAAGCAATTTTTAATAATTTTATGTAGCAATATGTTATTTTGTTAATCTAAATTTCTTACATTGTTTATATCTTAATGAAATATTTAATACTGTTATGATGCCATCTGATATTAACATGCATGCAGAAAGAAAATTAAATGGTGTAAGCGGAAATTAATGCTTAGTAACATAAATCACACTTCTCCAAAATTTCTCCCCAGGTATATGTATTTATATCTGGTATATTTTCAATTAAGTACTATTATTGATGAACTACGAAAAAAAAAAAAAAAAAAAAAAAAAAAAAAAAACAGGAGCTGTACTTTACTACTAATTTAAAAACTCCCAATAGAATGTTTGTAAAATATAATGTTACTGGCTTGTTTTGTACAAGCTAGTCTGAATGTTGAATGTTATGTTCTTAAGTCTTAAGTCTTGAGTCTTGATCAAGATCTTCAACTAAGAGAAATTCAGGAAGTTTTTAAAAACTCATGTTCTCTTAATTGCTACCAATTACCATGTGATTTTTCATGTACCATGCATTACCAGCAACTTCAAGTAATTTAAATGCTTAGCACCTATGCTAGAGTGAATAATTTAAATTTGTGAAAATTTTAACCTTAGTGTGACAATGGTTTTATAGAAAAAATGTACATGTCTTGATACAGATACAGGGTTCATAGCCACATTTTAGTTAAAAAAATAAGCACCTATAAGCACTTTTCAAGCACATTTTAAGAAAAAAAAATAAGCACCTGCCTAATTACATCATACACAACTGCATAACCTTAAAAATTAGACTTGTAATTTAAAATATGAGAAATGAAGTACTTATTAAGAGAGAATAAGCATTACCTCAACCATGGAAAATAATTACTTTTTTTTGTTTTTAATTTTAAATAATAGTTCAATTTACAGAACTAGTTTACAATGAGAGGAAAAAAAAAAAAAAAAAAAAAAAAAAAAACTATGAAGAACTAAACTATATTACAAGATTTAATGATGAAATTTCAGTTCAAAGTAGAGAAAATAAATAATAATAAAGCATATTTGTTGTATTCGCTTGGAACCTAATATTAAATACAATTTATTTTCCCACTCATATTGCTATTTAAATAATTTAAATCTTAAATTCTGAACATTTTCTAAATTTTCATTGTGTATCAGTTTTCTCTTAACAGATATTGCAAGCAAAGTAATTTAAGTAAAAAAGAGGAACATTTCTGAAATCAGAAAAACAGAAGACAGAAATTTGCTTCATGCAATCATCTTTTAACAGTAAAAGCTTAACTAACCGCCATACTTGGAAATTGGCGAATATTCGGACAGTCGAGCGTAACTTGAAGGAGGAGCGGAGGGGAGGGGGTAGGGTACTGACTAGCCGCTCTTTAGATTTTTTAGCTCTAAATAAATGCTTTTGACATTTCAATATGTGCATCATATATAAAAAATAACCAATGGAAACTGAAAAAATATTCCGCTTAGTAAGGACAGTAAAACTCTTTTTAAGTGCTCATAAACAAATCTCGGACTGAAAATCAAAATTAATTATCTCTGCAAAATATCGCAAACGTTATTGCGCAATACGTGCGCCGTAATTCTTCCCTAAGTGATATTACGCAATCGAAATCAACAACTGCCGGTATTGGGAGAAAAAAAGCACTAAATAACTGGAGTGTTTTTCATTCTAATTTTCAACAGACGGCGTTAAAATTCCGGAATAGAATCATTCTTCGCTTGGGTTGGTAGACCGCAGAACTTTTAGTCCTATTCAATCCAGATTGGAAAGTGACCCCCCCCCAAAAGAAAGGTCCGTTGCTTGTTTTGCAGCGAACTGTAACAGTTTCAATATTCAAGATTTTTCGGAGAAAGGGGAGACCTCCCAACCTTCGTACTGTTTAATGTATTGGCCAAAAAAAATGAAACTATTTTGACTATTCGATTACTTCCCTTTATTTAAGCCATTCCGAATATTATTCCTTAGAAAGCTAATCTGTGTTAAAACACAACAATTTTTGGAAGTTTACTATACTTCAGCAGTTACTGCAACTATGTTATTATAAACATTCATACATATGCTCATAATATAAGCATAATGATCATAATAAACACGAATATGAACTGACCAAGCAGAACGAGAATGCAAATCTTTTTAAGATCTTGATATAAATTCAAACGTGTGTAGTATTTGGGTGGGAGGAAAAGAATGCCGAATATAGCGGAATTTTCTACTGCTTTTGCAATTCCTTGACCAATAAAACGACAGGCACCTGTCTGTACGCTTCATGCACACCAAAGGTTATGTTAATGCAGAGAAAGGGAGACCGCTACGAACCCTGAGATAGATGCAAACGACTTTGTAAATAACAATCATCAAATTTCTGGGAATTTATGTCTGATAAATGGTTATCTAAATCCCAAAGCAAAAATAATAGCTATTATGCTTTGATTTAAAATAAGCTCCATGTTTCTAAGATATTTCAGCTGTTAAATAAAACTTTTGGGAGGGAAGAATGTAGGGAATCATTAAAATGTATGAAACATTGTATTTTAATATATGTCAATTAAAATAAAGTTCTTTGTATCAAAGTTGTAGTAATAGGTAACATTTATTTCTTAAGGTCATAAAAATATATAATAGTACATTGAGCACTTTAAGTGGTAAGGACTTTTTAGCAGGCCATACAAAAATAATAATTTAAAAATTATTTATTTAACACAAAATTAGTTAAAAGTATGAATAATAACGGCTGAGATATTATTTCACTGGATTAGATATATTTAAATTACAAATAAAAATAAATTATATAATAGTAAAATAGTACCTTTTTCTTTCTTTTTCTTACTAGCACTGTGTTTAAAATTCTCACTCACATTTACAATTAAATCTTTTAATATTTTTAAGAGCATGTTTAAAATTAGTAAAACCATTTCATATGATATTTATCCAGGCTTTGAAAGATTGTATGCTATGAATATACTGAAGTGAATTGTAAAGCTGATCCATGCATTACAGTAATTTTATTCAAAAAACTTTTTATTACAAATGATGGTTTTGTAAATTTTTGAAAGAAGCAAAAATATCTGAATTAATACTACTATCTTTTCTGTGAGAAAAAAACAAGAGAAAGTATGACATACATAAAAAAATTATGCTTATGATTACAAATTATGTTATCAGATGTATTCATTTTTATAATTATAAATTAAGGAAAGACATTGCCATATTACAGCATTTATTAACATAATGACAGAATACAGGAAAACATATCTAAATAAAAATTACAATCATAATTTCATTAAAAAATAAAAAAAAATTGAGCTTTGTCTTATCCTTTTACAACAACTGAGTGATAAGAAAATGCTTTACAAAAACTTAATACCTATAAAAATTAAAAGAGAATATATCAACAAATTTGCAAAAGTAAATTGTCATAAAAACAATACCTCATTTAAAAATGATATTCAGTTAAAAAGATTACTGTATTTTTATGGCAGTTCACATTTTATATTTGAAATATGTTTCTTCACTACATAAAAGTACACTTAAGCATATTTTCATATTTTAAACTCCTCGTTCTCAATCTGAGATTCATGATAGTATAGAATGAGCTAAAACATAATTTATTTAATCTATGCTTCAGTGTAACAACTGCACAACTTCACAGCAAAATTTATGTTCAGGACGATTCGTCTACTTACTTTATTTGCAATTTCATGAAAAAATCTCATGTCATTCTGCCTAATTTTTGACATAATTTATGATGCTCATAATTTAAAGTGCAAGAGATGACTAGTAAATACCAGCCTAAAAAAATAGTTGTGATTTTAAAATGCCAGGCAGATCAAATTAACAGTACAGGCATTTGACTGACGAGCATGAAACTGATTTTAACTACATTCTGAAATGGAACGAGACAGCATGTTATCCATTCAGAGCAATAAATAAGATAAAATAAAAATATAATGCACCAGTATCACTCATATTGAAATATATACATAAAACAGACACACTTATAAAGAATATGTAAACATATATCAAACAACACATATAAACTAAAATAATTTATAGTTTAAAACTTATACAGATGGTATGTACTACGATGAAAGCAATGAGGTTTTTTTTCATTATTATTACTATCTTTTTTTCATCTATTTGAGTTTTGTGTTCCATAATTTAAAGGATTCAGTTGTAGACAAAAATTCCTGACACAGCATACAGATAATATTTGCAGTGTGAGTTGCACAAGTCTAGCATGTCCACATAACAAGATTAATAACAAGCTTTAGCCTTTATCATATTTAAAAAAAATACTGTATTCAACATAGAGGACATGTTTTCTTTAAAGCCACTTAATGTCTAATTGTATAACGAAACTAAATATACAAACAGAGTATATGCATGAAGGGGAAATATGAATAAAATGTGCATTTCAATGCAAAAAAATATAGACTTAGGAAGTATTAAAGGGAATTAAATGTAATTTTGCCTTCCTTTTACACAAAATAATTATGTTAAGCAAATGACAGTCATAAATAAATAATCGAAGACACAGTTGTTATAATAAAATTAAGAAATTCAACTTCAAAGAAGTTGACTTAATGGAGATCATAAAAATTAAGTACAATGCATACATCACACTTTACTTCCTGAGCCTATATATATTCTTGAGATTAATAACTCGCATGAATAAAAATATATCAGCACAGTTAACTCTTAAGCAGGGGTTCACAAAACAGTAACTTATGATTTGTTACAGTCCAAATGTTTTACAAAAGAATTTATCAAATGCCAATTTATTATATTAACATTTTCATCAAAGTATATGTTCACCTCACTTCTGAAAACTTATCAACACACTCGGATTTTCACCAAGAGAATTTTAATTACAAGTATACCTTGATGAAAATTATATATAAATCAACAACAAGCATACCATTCATATATATAATGTTTTAAGGAATTTAAAATAAGAAATTTTCCCTTTAGCATACAATTGGGAATTCACAAGCTCAGATTTTATATGTTTAGCACTTATTTGGAAAAACTTAACATGGAGAATTAATTGATGACATAAATATCAATTTATTTTTTCTATTGATAAACGAAAGTATTTTATCCAGTGTAACATTCTCTAAAACAATTATAAAACTATCATTTTAGAGTGCTTCTGAATTCATATATCTCACTACAACATATGATATATGACATGGTTATGATAAAAAATTATGTTTATGATATACAATAAAATATGATAAACCAATATGAATAACACATAATTTTATCTTGCATAATTAAGACACCTTATTAAATACCTATACTTAATACTGAAAAAAACTGAAATGTTTTTAACAAAGCTATAACTTTTTCCTGAGTTAATACTCAATTTATTATTTTAAAAAATACTGATTATCAGAAGTTTGTTTGTATTTGAAGTTGCTTTGTTTGTATTAATTTAAGGATCATATTATGTAATTTAGATTCCTTATAATTAAACACTTATATTTAATACTGAAAAAATTGCAATATTTTTTCCTGAGTTAATATACAATTTATATTTTAAAAAATACTGATTATCAGATGAAATAGCTTTGTTTTTCATTAATTTAAGGATATTATAGAACTGAAGTTACTCACAAGGAAGCACAAATAAAAACATTCAGTTATTTTTCCTCTCTTTACATTATTCCTTAAATTAAATCCTATTCATTCACTAACAACTATATGCAAACTTACAACATTTTCAGTATTACTTCTCACTGATTAGGCATATCACTCAAATTTGAAATTTTTAACAGCTGACTGTAATCTTTAAATGATTTTCCCCTGCAACAGTTTAATGCAAGAAAGCTTAATTATCAACAGTTCCCATACTTTAACTGCAACAATTATGTGAAACAGGTGCTTAAAGACATTGTTTAAATTTCAGTTAGGAAAACTAATTGTTCATAACATTTAACTATTAAAAAAATTACTCCTATTGATCCCCCCTCCAATAAGAGCACTGTACTGTACAAAATCAAAGAATAAAAATGGAATGCAACTCACAGCAATATGAATTCAACAAACAAATGAGATTCAAAATATGTAAAAAAGAGAAATGATTTTTAACAGAAACATTTCTTAAAAATATCTCATTCCATTGATTATAAAATATATTTTTAAAAGTTATATAATATTAGGTATTTAATATCTTACAGATTTATACTCTAGAATATCATATTCATATAAACAAGATGCAATGTGACTAGACAAACCACAACAATGATTGATGGACAAAGATGGAGACAAAAATATATCAGGTATTTTTTCACTAACAACATAATACCATTGATAAATAACATATAATTCTAAATGTAAATTAAAATTACTCAAAAAGAACAATCAGATAATGCAAGTGAAAAAAAAATTTAATATGAATAATTTGATTCATTTATTTTGTTTTGAACTAGATAATTTTATGCATCACTGGGAAAGAAACTTGATATTCTTTGATTCATTGCAAAAATTAGCAAGAAAACGTTATTTTTCTTTTAAATGGCATTCAAAAAGGAATATTTCAAATGTTACAAACGGAATTACATGTCAAATACTACTGACACACTTTTTTTTTGCTTCATTCAAACCCAGTAATCTACACATTTGAATTCTGAATGCCTAGCTTAGTTACACATTAAACTTCATAAAAAACAGAAGTAAGTTTTTTTTTTTTTTTTTTTTTTTTTTAATGTATAAAGGATTTTATCATTTTTCAGAGAAGAAAAGAATAACAAGCTATTGTAAATTAAAATACTAATACTCAAAGTCTACAGAACAATTTGTGACTTTAAATAAGAAAGTTAAAAATTTCCAAGAGGTAAAAAATTTTGAATGAACCAGAAAATTTACATTTCAAGAAATCATTAGAATTAATATGGCTACACCAGAAAAATAAATGCTTATTGATTATGAACACAATGAAAGTCATGAATTAATCTATGATCCGTGTGAAATCCATCATTATTCACTAGACATATTCTTAAAAGGCACACCTTTTACACTATATTCTATACTTTTCATTTTAAATGAATAACAGAGATGTTAAATTTTTTATTGAGTGTCTAACAAACTACAACTTGTTGTTTTCCCAGTTTGTTTTGGCTGTAAAATTTTGCTAAAATTGAAGCAAATCTTTTACAGCCAGATTTACTGAGTTTACCAAATCTGCTGCTTCATAGGCAGTGTGAGGAAAGACATAGCAGCTTGTGTACAATAACTATTGTTATTCTAACTTTTCCACACTTTGATGATAAAAGTGAACACTTAAATAAAAATAAACCTCAATAACAGAGTTTAAACATTATTTGTGAAAATATTTCACTATACCAATTATTATGTGAATTAACAAAAACCAAGGAAAAAAAGTTACCTGATGCTATAATTTTTATGAAATGCTAACTACAGCACTGCCAGAATTAGAACAAATATAAATTAATTATAGTCTGTATATTAAATAAAATAAGAGACAAAACAAGTCTTCAAGGCAGTTCATCAACTCCTGGACAATGAAAATAATAGCTACATCTCATTTCTAGATAAAACAATTATATCCTCCATATGAAAAGCAACTATCTAACCAGTGTAAAATTCCCAAAAATACATTTACAATGGCTGCATCTAACAGGATGATAGAATAAAGAGAAGAGAAAACAGGTCTGAGGATTGTCCCTCACTCAATGCTATGGCAGGAGATTTCTAAGCTGTAGTACATATAATGTGTGACTTAACGTCACGCTGCTAGGCACGAGAGTTAATTTAGCTATGAAATCTAAATATTAGTAGAGGCAGCATTCATCTAGAAAGTGATACAATATGGCTCTGGGACTAAAATAAATTTAAACTCTTACCTAGAATGTGAGACAAGTGGTAAGCGAGAACCAAAATAAAATAATAATAAAAAATAATAAAAAAAAACCAACTGTGTTAGTCGATTAATAACTCAAAATGAACACTACCCAGTCTGTCAGTCCGGTCATGTTCAATATTAGCTGCCCAAGCTTTGCATTCTATATTGATCAGGACTCCAGCTTGAGGATTTTCAAAGTGGACGAACACAAAAGGAGAGAGGTAACCATCCAGATTGGTGAATGGAAAATAGTATTTTGGAATTGCACCATTTTCTGGATAATATTTGACTGGGCCTATATTTTCTTTGTCTGCTGCATTCTGAAAATACAAATAAATAAATAAGTTTCTGCACTTACACACAGCAACAAATATAAATAATGTCTTAAAGGAAGGGGATTATTATTATTAAAAAATATTAGTACCTACTCATATCACTCAAAAGTCAAATAGCACATATAGTTATACAAATATTATACATTTACAAACATTTACTGCCTACTGATATATTTCTTTCCCTCACATAGTCCCATGGCATTTTTAGCATATAATTGAGAGTTTTTTTATAAATTCACGTAATTTTCTCCCATAAGAGAATCTATGTTTCCTTTCCATAGTTGAGAACTCTGGGAAATTTTGAAGCAAAGTTTCATATTAATTACTATAATTTTTGTGAAAATATCACTAATAATTCAAGTGGCTCTGCATAGATTTTAACTTTTTTGAAAAATAGTATGTGAGGGTATTTGTAATTTAAATTGCAAGTGCAGCATATGCCAGTATGCACAGCACTAAACCCAAGATAATTACTTTGGAGCTGAATCAAGTCTGATAAAGCTTTTTTAAAAAAAGTACTTTAGTATTATTCTGTCGTTTGTGAAACTATCACCAAGTAGTGTGATTTAGCAATAAATTATGGATATATTTCTAAAAAACCACATTCAGTACAACTATCTTTTGTAGAATATAACCCTCATTAATTTTTTGATAAGCCAACTTTTATTTTTTGTGAAATAAGGATATGAATTAACTGCTACTGTTGTATTTTCCCCCTTACATTTGAAAAAGTTAAAAAATTTGGGACCTGCCTTATATAGAACAGCAAGCAGAGAATTACTTTCAATGTTATGGAACCCCTAAAAAACGTGTGTAATAATGGACACAATATGGTTCTTTATTTGAAAACGGATAAATTATGATGCCACATGATAAACTGTGACAAGAAAATATCCATTTCAAAAGAAATGCAGTTTGAGGGATGTTGAATCACATTTATGACTGCACTCTCGATCATTTTCAGCAGGTTGAAAGAATTAACATCTGTTAAATGGTGAAAAGAACGTCTGAATATGGTTGACAAAACAGTAATACACTAAAGCAGTGTTTCCCAACCTTTTTTTCCTCGCAAACCAAAAGAAAGGTCCGAAAAAATTTGACGAACCCCCTATGTAGTCAATGACAGGTAAAAAAAAAAAAAAAAGCAATAAAATTTGATAGAATATATATTTTTCATATTGCAGAATAATTGATTATATTAATCGTGAAACATTTAAATAAAACATTAATAAGACTAAAATGATGGCTATAAAAGTTGAAAACAAGATAAATTTAACAAACTGGTTCTTATGTTTTACATTTGGAAAAACTCTTAATGGGGTATTTGTGGCTGTTTGATAGAACAAAGCAATTAAAAGTTATGCTCAATATCTGACAATTTCAGTCTTAGATCAGGTTCTGCATTTAACCTGTTTCTGTATTTATCTTTCAGATAAGTATATGTGAAAATCCTTTCTCGCATAGATATGTTGTGCAAAATGGTAATAGAAACTTCAATGGCTTTTTTTGACAGAACAGGATATTCATTTTGTATACTGAGCCAGAAGTCAATTAAAGATTGATCTTTAAAAATTGCTTCTAGAGAACTGTCACAAGATAACTCTATGAGTTTTTCTTTTTCCAGTATATTTAGAGAGGTTTCTGAACTTACATTTCCTTGAAATGGATTACGTATCCAGTTGTTTGAGATGGATATATTGCATCTGTTGGGAAAATAGTCATCGAAAGTTAATCGAAGATAGTTCAGATGTTCACATATACTCCTTTTAATGTTTTCGTCAAGTTTAATTGAATTTTTCTGATAAAAAAGTGCTGACAGAATCGAAACATCCATACTCATTCATCTGCAGGGCATTGAATCCAAAAATTGATCTTTTTTCAACATAGCCTCAATTCTATCATGTACACTGAAAATGGTGACACCCTCGCCTTGTAAAGACATATTTAATTCATTCAGTTTACAAAAAATGTCAGCTAAATACGCAAGCTTTTTGCAGCCAAAGAACATCGGATATACAAGAAGACAAATGAAACGGATGATATCAATAAAAAAAATGCTTGAACTTCAGACTTCAATTCAAACAAACGCATCAAAACTTTACACACGGAAAGCCATCTAACTTCTGTGTGAAGTAGTAAAGAAACGTGGAAACTTCCAAAATCCTCACAAAGCGTACGGAATAGACGGCAATTTGTAGCACGCGATTTTATAAAGTTCACAATTTTCACAGCATCACTTAAAGTAGTAGATAACTCTGCAGGAATACGCTTACATACTAAAGCTTGTCTATGAATACAACGAGTCCATTGAATTTTCTCGTTGATCTTCTTCACCCGTGCCACAAAACCAGAAAATTTTCCTGTCATTGATTTTGCACCATTTGTACACACACCCACACAATAAGACCAGCTTATTCCATTCTTTTCAAAATACCCATTGATCATATCGAAAATTGCTTCTCCAGTTCTGTAGGTTTTCAAAGGTTTTGCAAATAGTACATCTTCTTGAACAATATTCGTAAAAAGATATCTAACATAGACAAGCAAGACTGCGGCATTTGTTACATCCGTCGACTTGTCAAGTTGAATTGCAAAATAATTCAATTTTATTCTTTTTAGAAGTTCGTTCTCCATATAATTAGCAAAGTCATTAATTCTATGCGACACTGTGTTGTTTAATAAGGGAACTAGGCCAATTTTCGCTGCCTTTTCTCCAAGCATACATTTGGCGATATCTTTCGCACATGGTCCAATTAAATTTTCTGCTATTGTATGCGCTTGTCCAGATCTTGCAATTCTATAACTTACTTGAAATGATGCTTCAAGAGCCATTTTACTATCATCGTTTGACATCAAGAAAGAAGAAAGGCTAAACTTTTTGATATCTGCTAATTTTCTTTTGAAATATTCAAGAGGTTTACCTTTGTGTGTCGGAAATTTTGTTTCAATATGTCTACGAAGAAGTGATGGTTTTAAACTGCTGTTGGGAAGAACTTTGTTACATATAACACAAAGCGGTTTAGGTTCCGACATATCCCCAGTAAAATGAAAACCCAATTGTAGATAGTCGCTGTCATATTTTCGCTTTTAACCCTTTTCTATCATCATTTCCTTTGTTTTTCTCGTCTGGTGAAACGGTACCTCACTACAGCTTTCAGTATTATCATCTCGATTATCATGTCTCGTTTCTAATCGACCCATTTTTAACCATAATAAAAATAAGCTATAATAATAATTAAATTAATAACTATTAAATCATTTACACAAGAACTTGACAGTCATAGTATCACTATCATTCAAGCTTTACAATGCTAAGCCTATGCATGAACGTCGCCAGACAGACAAACAAAATACAGTTAATACAACACTACTCTTCCAGTTCTCGGTCGTGAACAAGTATCTAATTCTAAAATCTGTAGTAAACTGCCTTAATTTGATATTTATTTCCAATTGTATTGTAAAAAAAAAATATTACATAGAAGGGAATACTGCTGCAATGATTTTAAATATAAAGCAGAATATGATACTAATCACATTGATAAAATGTTTTAAATATAAACAAATGTTTGTAATAAAATGAGAATAGTATTTGATTACTTGAATAAGAGGAATAAATTATAATGTATAAAACTGTTGATATAATTTGATATTGATGAAGTGATTTTGAAAAACAAATAAGGAAAAAAGAAATGAAAATATTGAAATTTATTATAGATTTCTTAACAAATGGGCAGTGAACAATCTGTTTTACAGTGGGTGTGTTCTTTAATTTTTTTTTTTTTTTGATTTTAATGGCATTTTAAAAAATCCGCCATTACAATATTATTTTCGCGAACCACCAGTTGGGAATCACTGCACTAACACAATAACCTGTGGGAATTTTATACTCATAGTATTCTAGACAGAGCTTCTAGTAAAGTCAGAGAGCCTAACAAAAAGGTAGAAATGAATGAAAGCTTTTTTTACCAAGTTCAAAAATTAAGTGGATATTGCTAAGGATATACCAAATGTCTTCTTCTGATTAATAAATAAAAAAGAAAAAAAGTAAAGCCCGAATAATAACAAAAAGAACACAATATGAAATATAGAAAAAAAAAGTATGTATGTACACACACAACACATTCATGGAAACAAAAATACAGTCTATATAGTCAAAAGTCGTTAATTCGGACCTCAAAGCTACAAACTTTGCGCATGTGTCGCGTTGACGCATGCGCGTAAGACCTTTACGGCTGCGAATATGTATGTGCGCATGCACAAAATACGTTTACGCATGCGCGTTTAATGTATAACGAACGGTATAAGCTAAGCTAAAATTATCTAATTCAGTTAATGTTGCAGATTGCGTTGTTCCTTAATCTTCAAATTCGATCCAGCTTATTATTTTTTGCAGACTGTTACAGCAACTTTATAAAAGTAATCTTGAACTTTCGATTATGTCAAATAGAATTTCCGATATATATTTACTAATATGTAAAGGATCTACAAAGCGAAAGTATGTTTTGAAGTCCATAAACAAATGTGGAATTGCTGCAAAAAATGACCTAACCATTTCAAAATCTGTTTATCAATTTCACGCTGGCAAGGGGGGGGGGAAGGCCGCGGCACTCAATGAATTCACAAGTTGATTTGTCAGCACTATCCTTATCTTCAGGGCAGATGTTTTCATTTTATTTGGCTTATAATTTCTTACTAAATGTAGTATTTCATCTCAAAGTGACACAGAGGTTATTGAAAACAAAAAACTTTCGATTGACAAATTAGTCGGTATTCTCGACACAGCAATTATAGGACTTGAACAGCGGAACTTTGTAACTGAACAAGAAATTATGTCTGTTTAAAGAATTAAAGAGAAAGTACTATCGCATAAAACGAAGCAACTTAAACTGAAAGAAATGTTTAATAAAGTAAACAAATAAATATTTAGCTTTTTTTTTTTTTTTTTTTAATTTTGATACCCTTTAGATCATAATTGTTCTTTATTTCATAAATTATGGTTTCATATTTTTAATTTTATAATTTTTGCATGCCATCTTACCAGATTTAAACTGATGACCTATAATCTGGAAAAATCGATAATCCGGAATTGCCGAACTTTCTGCACACACAACACATTCCGACGAGTCCGGATTAACGACTTTTGACTGTATATACATGGGTGATATGTCTCAAGACCTAAAACTGACAGCTACATTAGAATATTTGTATGAAAACATATAAATACAGTCAACTTTAATTGAAAAAAGAGATGGATAAAATTATGCAAATGAAGAGATTACGAATATTAAATAAATCAAAGTACAATGCACACTACACCATATCATATATTGTACAAAGTAATGTGAAATATATTGTACACTACAGTAACTTTAAAGTAGAATTATATGCTGTTTAAAGATAGTAAAAATAAGAGCAACATCCTTTTCCCATGCTTTATGGTTAACACTGCTCAATTTTATGCTGATATAATTATCTTATTGATCTTACACTTTGAGGTCAAATTGATTAGCATAAAAACCATTACAACACATAACTAAACACAACACAGAATCTAGATTAAGAACGGAGGAAAATTTAACCTGGAAGTCACAGTGAAAGAAAGACTCTTACATCATAAGTATATGGGTAAAGGGAGGGGGAGAAAAGTACCATGCTCTCTGACCTTTGATAACTGCAATCCACTATAGCCAAGATAAGAAACAGATAAATCTAAACACTTTCCTGCAACCTCAGAAACTCATAAGTTAAATAATGACTATTTACTTATATCATTCTGAAAAGTATGAAATATTGTGAAAAGAGCATGATGTTTAAAGTGGTGCTTTTTGGCATGTTTAAAGCACTACTTGACATGCTTAAAGTGGTGTATTTACCATTACAGCTTACTCTTTCTTGGCATGAGCATTTAAAAAATTATTTACTTCATTGCTGTAAACACCACAGATTAAACATAAAATTAAGCTTGCTCACAGAAAAGAAAATTAAAATATTCAATTTACAGATTCTTCTTTGTCTAAAGAAAAAGGATCAAATAATCAAATAAATGAACATACATGTTCACAAAATTAGACATAAAAGGAAAAATCCAGGTTTGAGAAAAATTAAATAAAAAGCAGTAACCCTCTCGCTACATAATTCTTTTTATCAAAATAGGTTCGAAAAAAGCACGATTTTTTAATTACATATTTCAAATCTACATATATTTTAGAGTTAAAATATATGAAAAGTTTCCCCCCCCCCAGTATAGAATTAGCTCATAAAAAAAGATTGTCAAAAAGTTTAAACTGATGAATAATCATACAAAAGAAAAATTTTGAAAATTAATCTTGGCTAAATTATGATTTATTTTATAAAATATAATGGTAAAACGTATATACTAATGAAAATATGCAAAATATTTTTTTAACATTTATTAGAAATGAAGTGTAATATGATACACTCGAAACAAGGCTGGAGGCATCCTATCTCGCCCTTTTTGCACCAAATACACATTTCTTTGAAAATTTTTTTGCCAGTTTCAGTTCTTTTTTAAGAAACAAACAGCACAATGTCTACGAGTTTCTTTCTTGATGGAATTGGGGGATATATATCTAGCAAAATGCCGAGCAGTTAGTCTCATGTGATTGAGAGTTGAACTACAGACATCTTTGAGCTTTGAAAAGAGCGTGCAAAATGTGTTTGTATATTTTGCAAAAGTATGGACAATTAATGCCATCTGTTAACCTAAATCTGAATAAATAATTAAACATCACAGAAAAGCCGAAATGAAACCATGAACGGAAAAGAGCGGGTTGCACACTTAAATAAACGAAAAATATGCATTCGCATGGAAATCGCGGGTTGTGCAAATTTTGCTACTTCTATGTTGCCTGTTGAAATTGCAGGATATGCAATGAGAAGGTTAAATTGAATATAAGTAGGTTAAATATAAATAATATACTCCTCATAATTTAAGTTCAAAATAAAATGAACAGAATGAATTTGACTTAAGGCCTATTATTTGTGCCACACTTTACTGCAAGTCATAAAAAATGCTAGGAGAAAATGCACCTATTATTAATACGAAAACACTGGAGAACTATAATATCAGAAATGTCATAAAAAACATAATGAAGCATAAAATGAATTAATGGCAATCAGTGCAGAAACATACAATACATTTTTCAAATGATTTCATTGGTTTTAACACTCATTTGATTGAAGTCCCTAACAACTTAGCAGAAACAGGAGAGTAACTTGGTTTCAATCAGTTAGATTAAATTAATGTACGAGGGTTATTCACAAAGTAACTTACGTTTCGATGTCGTGCGGCGAGAGATAGTGCTAGCATTCCTATCTTGGTGTCAGAGTGTTTATTGAATCCTTATGCATCCAGTTGTAATTGTTGACGGCATGTATTGCCGCTGCTTTGTTCACTATGAATGTTTAAAATAGTGCAGCATTAAAAAATTCTGCCAGTTGTGAAGTGCGATCAGAGATTAGATTTTGCTCACAAAAAAATTCAGACCAATTGAAATTTAACTGAAACTTTGTACAATGCATGGAAATGATGTAAGATGCGAAGTTGGAGTGAGACAATGGTGCATCGAGTTTAAAAATGGCTGCACAAATTTTCACGAGGAAGAGCAAGTGGTCGGCCGAGCATTGTTAACCCTCGCACTGCGTACTTTTTTTAAAATTTTTTTTTTATCAAAATAGGTTTAAAAATTGCATAATTTTTATTACATATTTCAAATCTACATATATTTTAGTTAAAATATACAAAAATTTTTTTGAAAGAGTTCTTTTTCAATATAGAATTAGATTATAGAAAAAGAATGTTAGAATACAGAAATTGAAGAATAATGATATAAAAGGAAAATTAATATTGGTTAAATTATGATTTATTTTATAAAATACAAAGGTAAAACATATATACTAATGAAAATGTTTGCATAATGTAATCTTTTGCATGTAAATTTTGCACCACTGTCGAACGTTTTCAATAGAAACTGAATTTTCATATTTATCACTATCTGCTGAGGAATTCTCGAGAAATTCTCATCAGTTTCACTATAACTATCTTCAATATACTTGAAATCAGAGTCAGAACTACTACCAGTGCTGGAAATATCGTCAGGAATATAGTTTATATCACTCGTGAAACGCTTCCTGCCAGACATCTTTGAGCTCTGAAAAGCGAGCACAAAATGCTACATTACGTACTCTTGTATATTTGGCAGAAACGGGGAAACTAATGGCATCTGTTAGCCCACATCTAAATAAACAATTAAACATCACAGAAAAGCCGAAACATTGAAGAGGGAAAGAGCAGTTTGCAAAGTTAAATAGACGGCAAAAATTCATCCCCGCGGAAATCGCAGGATGCGCAGCGAGAGGGTTAATGCTGAACTCATAGAGATTCATGAAATTGATGAAAAGATTCACGAAATCCACCACTTCACCATTTCAAAGCTCTCACTAGAGTTTCAAATTTCAAGAACTTTTTTGTTTGGTTTTGTGATGCAAGATTTAGGCTATCACAAGTTTTGCACCAGATGGATACCAAAACTCTTGTCAGAAGACCACAAAAAGCACCACATGGCAGCAACTTTAACATTTCTCGAGACATAGCAAAAACAGTGAATCACTGCTCAGTCATGTCGTAATAGGAGACTAAGGTAAAATTCGTTACTTGTGTGTGCCTAGCTTCCAACATAGTGCTTCGACGAGGACGAGGAACTGCACACTGGCGTCTGTGCTTGATTAAGTCTCTGGTGGCAATATTCTACGACAATGTAGCTCGTGTACCATTATAAGTGTCTTGATTTATACGGATATTATGTAGAAAAATAGCTGAATAATGTGCCTTTTAAATGTAAGTAATAAAAAATTTTTACATTAATTTTTTTTTTATCATTCTAAAACATATATTATTTTCTGAACCTACGTAATTGAATACAGCAAACTGAACACTAATCAACTAGACAAAAAAAAAAAAAAAAAAAAAAAAAAAAAAGAGCACTCAGCAACATGTCAAGTCATAAATAAAATACTCAGATTATTGTAGTCAAACAAATTTGAGTACAACTGGCATTCATTCTCACAGCCACACACACAAGTAAAATACAAGTTCTCATGTTCATGCCATATATTCTCTCAAGTTCATGCCATATGTGACAAGCCTGCATTAATTCTAAAAATATATAAAAATTACATACCTCTCCTTGACATGAAATATATACATAATTTGGATTATAAGCTGCTCTTAAATAATCAGGCATGGTAGGTGGAAATGTATCATTTGTATAAGGTACTGGTTTCCAGTTGAATATCTGAAAAGAAGATTGCATGAAAATAATTCTGGTCAAAATACAGGTAATCCTTTATTTGGGAATGATAAGCAAATAAATGCACTTCAAAATCACTTCTCAGTCTCTGCAAAACTGAGATACTCATTCAAAAGTTGTGTTACATTTTAAGAGAAGAAATGGCCATTACATAGACCCTCTCTTATATGCTCATTTACATGAAAATGTATTTCTAACACATTATTGAAATAAATTTAGGGTCTTGCATAATAAAGAAATAAGGACTACATAAAAAAGAAAACACTTAAACCTATAACAAATAATAATATAATTAATATAAACTATAATATAAAACTAATGCAAATAATAACAACAAAACTACATTCCTACAATCATGAAGTTAATATATATGTTTATTTTACCTTAATATTTCACGTTACAGCTTCAAAAGATAATAACTAACAAATGGTAACACACTGGATTGGATTACACCTAATTTTGCTTTAACATAAATTAAATTTAGAAAATAAATATTTTTTTAATACATGTTATTTCGATTTAAAATGAGTGGGCCAAGAAAATTTCCAAGATTTTATTTTTTGGCCCAAATTCTAAGACTTTTTTATTTGTAGCACAGAAGTATATGCAGATATGAATAGATAGCATAACAACTAGTAGAGGAGAATGAAGTGCCTCCCTAAGGCAAGTAGTAAGTCATATGTGACTAACTGCATGCACTTTTTCTTTTGTTTCCAGGTTGTGTATTGAGAATTTGAAATCTAAACAAATATTTTGTCTCTGTGGGAGACATTTAGTGTGAAACAGAGTTGAAATAAATAAAGTGGAAGGAATTCTTAATTATGTATCAATCGAGTATGTATCAATTATTATTGTATCAATTGAGTTGAATTAGTATTAACCGAATTAAAATCAGCAATTTTGAATGTGTATTTGAAACGCGGTTTGGTCACAATGCATAAAAATATAAAAATAAATTCATTCCCAATATGACCAAATTCCCCCTCCCCTCATTACAATGGCACAAACAGCTAGTACAGAAGAAGGATTTGATTATCTATCCCATGAAGATATTAATGAATTATTAGTCAATGAATTATTAGCCCTAAGCCAGCGATTCTCAACCTTTTTTGGCCCATACATTCTCTTCACCACTGCTATTTATACATTTATTTCAATTTAGATTATTTTTCAATATGTTTTATAAATTAAACAAGTAAAAGGTAGAGAAAATGTTGATAAATATCAAAACTTGAATAAGAGTAGTTTTTTAACATTCATAAATAAAACTAAATCCCCAACAGGCAAATTAGACTGACTACATCCCTCCCTCCCCGAAATGACAGAACCCCTGCTCTAAGCAAAGATAAAATATCAGAGGTTGCTTTCCGCCAATCCCATAGAGCGTAGTGATATTGAAGAAAATGATCCAGTTCTAAATGCTGGTTTAGTAAAAGATTGCTAGAAAATTGAGTAATCACTGTATAAAACATTATCATACACTGGGAAGTTTTAATATGAACTGAAGCTGCTGAAAGCCTCTTTACAGAGCATTAATGAAGCCTCACTTAACTGCCGTAATTTGTTCATGAATTCTAGCAAGATTCAAGGTGTTCTCATTTAAAGAAACACTTTTTACCATAGGAATCAATGTAAAACAATATACTGTGTACCATACTGAAATAAATTTATAGTAATGTAATCTATTATTTACTATGCATTCTTCTTTATAATGCCATCTAAAGATGTTTGGTTTTGTATATGCTTCAAAATTTCACAAAAATGAGATAGCATTATCATCAAATAAATCTGCAGCATGTATAGCTACTGCCATATTAGGATTATGCCTTTTGGTATGCAATAGTTTGCCATGCTTTCAGCATCTTCCTTATTTCACTGGAAGTTTGTTGCTTTACTAAAGCTGTTTTCTCTTTCTCTCCTGATGAAATCTCTGCAGCCTTTTGCTGCGATGCAAAACGTAGCTTCATACACTCTTAGGTGGTCAGTTCCTGGGTATACTCTTCCACTAGCTCATTTATGTTATTCTTAGTAGAAGATATGGGACCACTTCTAGCCCCATAATCTTAGCCAGAGACAATCTCATTGACTACAGGCTCCATAAACACTTGCTCAAAACTGTCAGACTAAGGTATTAGGGGAAAACTTCATCCATACAAAAATAATGGTTCTCTTGGTGACCCCATTCCCATGACTTGATGAACATCTTGAGGCAGGTAACGAAACGATGACAGACTGGACTTTCCCAAACTCTCTGAGAGTGACATCGATTCCTTCAGTTACCTCATAACAATGCTCAAACAGCACTATAGAGTTTTCTAAAGTTTGAAATGACTTGCTGATCCATGGACTGCAATACAAGAGTTGTGTTGGAAGGCAGAAACTAGATTCTGATGAATTTACATTCTTCGAGGAGGTCACCTTCTAGGCTTGTGCCATGTGCAGACTCATTGTTCATAACAAGTCACAGAATGGCAAATTCTTCTCAAGCAGATGTGTTTTTACAGATGGACCAAACACTTCAATGATCCAATCTGTAAAAAGGTCATATGTCACAAGCCTTGTCGCCAGACCTTCACATGACATTTAACCTGACCTTCTGGACTTGTATACTTCTTGATAGCTCGTGAATTGTTCGAATAACTTACATTCAGTGCTTTAAATTTCAAATTGCCACTTGCATTTGCACAAAACAGCAGTGTGACATGGTCTTTCACTGGCTTGAGACCCGGCAATGCCTTCTCCTCACTATAATATAAGTTTGCTTCAGTATCATTTTCTAGGTGAGACCCATCTCATAGCAATTAAAAACCTTCTGAGATAAATACTTCTAAGAATTCCCATCTCTCTTGAAGATGGTGACTAAGTTCTTGTCTGCTTTATGGAAAATTATATAAGAAGGGGAAAACCTTTAATCATTACATCTACACAGAAAGAGGACACCGAATAAATACCTGAAAAACGTATGCACTGTTTCAATAGTTGGTAACAACAGAATATCCACCAGGATAGAAATCAATTTTAGACTTTCCGTACATCTGTAGCAACAATATATAAAATAATAAACCAAGATTTGCAACTAAAAAAAGCTAAAAATTATGACGTTCATCAGTTTTGCCAATGCATGTGGTTTAATCCTTCGCGGGCGCAAAGCTAAAATACTCTTTCTGTGATAAAGTACATTATAAATATTTTTGTTATAAAGTACATTATAAATATAACGTTCTCAACCCTCTTTTAAACATTATTTGGCCGTAAATAATTTTTCGGATCAGACATCTTTTGTCTAGAGCATGGCTAGAGGTTATAGCCACTACGCATTTAAGACATTTAGCTTACCTGTTAATGCAAAATTAATTCAACTTATTACAACACCTTTTTATGAGAAATTAATATTTATGAAAATAACAATTTTAAGGATAAATAAATACAAAATATTTGAGGAATAAAGTAATAATACAATTTTACTGTAATAAACAGCAAAAATACTCCAAGAGGAGTTGGATTTTGCATTTTTAAAACTTCAGAAGACGGACAACTGTCTTCTGTAAATTCTGGCAGAGATCTGGCAAGGAAATGCTTATTCCATTTCACTTGCAGCTGAGAAGTAGAGGGAAGCTGTAACTCCTCAATTTCTTCATCATCAGAACTAAAAATAATATTTTCCTCTTGACTAAAGTCCGCAAAGTCTTAAGTAAAGTCTTCATCAGTATCACTATCATTAGATACTGCTGAACCATCAACTGATGGCAAATCTTCAAAAATAGCACAAGCCTCTTGCTATTTTTTAAGATTTTAAAATAATACAAAAAAATTATCCACATAGAAAAAGCATTTTAAATATAGTCTCTCTGAAAAACATGAACATTCTGGCTGAACAGAAAAAACTGTACTGAGTATCAAATCAAGCCCAAAACCTCATCACTTACACCCCTACAGAAATATAAAACTGTCAAACATAATTTTCTCTCAGGTAGAGGCTATGCAGTGTTTTCAAGGTCAGTGTTACTCCCCAAAAAGAGCAGTGGATAAATCCTGAATCCACGTCCAAAAACTTTACAAAAACCTAGTAAATATGAATGGTTTTTGCTCATGAATTAGTTTAATTGATTGAAATGATAGGAAAATATACATTAAAACTGTCAAAATGTTTTGCATAAATTAGAAATATTATTTAAAATAATAAAATTTTAATTTGCAGTACTTATGCAGCGAATGTACAAGTTCAGCACTCCATCAGAAACCATAACTCGATAATAATGTATAGTGCTGCCATCTGTAATGATTTTTAAGCATTTCAGCTTCAATAAATGCAGATGGCTAACAACGATAACCACTGCGCACTTAGAAAAAAAAAAATATTTCTAGGTGGCACGACTTTGTAGCCACTGCCCGCGAAAGGGAATGTAGAAAATTTATAGAACTCAATACGAAAATGAAGAGGAGATAAATGGAAACACATTGTGACCTTCGATGATGTATGGGTTTACCTGAATGACTGCAACAATAAAACTACCTATTATCTAAACAACACGTAAAAATATACAAACCTGGTTCCACCAATGCAAAGACAGTTTATCACTTGCAGGACTCTCTTAGAATGGGAAATAAAAAATAAGAAGAGTGTGTAGGGAGGATATTAAAACCAATTCAGAGTACCATCAAGTGAAAGTTTTATGCCTGACACAATAGTTCTTTCTTTATTCCTTTATTCTAAATTTTACATTTAGATTAAAGAAAGAACATTACAGAATTTACAGAAAAAATCTCCTTTCTTTATTCTAATGACTTTCAAAGAGTGAAACTTCATCAAGACAAAGTAACAAGTCATACTGGAAAATTACCACAGCATTCCTTGAAGAAAAAAAAATGAACAATAATACAGATATTGCATATATACATTTCCAACGTATTCCTACAACGTAGATGGTTCACTAATGGACTATTGTGTCTTTGGTATCTTGAAAAGAAGTACACATGGGGAAAAACCCCGAAAACGCCCATGCAGCCAGCCTGTTCGCGTGACTCGAACCTCAGACCGAACTACCAGTGTTCAGCGTCTTTACGTTCGACCACTGGTGGTCTGATGGACACTGGAAAGCAATGGAAAAGAAAGAGAAATCAATACACCTGGAAATTTTATCAATAGTCTTTCAATCATGGAAATCATGATGTAAACTTAAAATCCAGACAAAAAAGGTTATCAGAATGAACATTTAGAAAATACTCTTTACATTTAAATGGTTCCAAAACTGTTCCAAAAATGTGTAAACAGCCTCTGGTTCATACGACTTTACTTTCCTAAGAATGAAATTAATAAAATATTAATTAACCATAGTTGGGATATTAAAATCATGGTACCACGATTATAAGAACCTGTAAGAAATTTTTTGTAAAACCATAATTATATTTCTACACAATTGAATTCTGACACAATAAAATTCCTGAATTACTTTCTGATAACCCAATTACATGTAACTAACGATTTTGTATAGCATGCAAAATAAACGAACAAAAAAGTACTCACCCGATTAATTTTCAATAAAACACATGGATGTCCAACATCGTATCCAAAATGATTTGGGTATGTACAAAAATCACCAAGTTGTTCGATATCAAATTTACATACATGTGGTTTGTCATACTGAGTTTCAAAATCACAGGAAAGCACATGTTCACCAAATTGCTGTCCACCCTGGTATGCTATTAACAAATAATTCAGTATCTTTGATGGAAAATGTAATACAACAACATAATTCAAAACACTAATAACACAAAATAGAGTGCTTAATAATTATAAATTTTTAGGATCTATTTAGAAAATTTACATTGTAAAGTTCAAAATCGAGATTAACAGAAAATTGCGAGTTCAAACTTAGCAAGTTATCATATGCATGCAGTTTTAATACAAAGAAAATATGGAATTATAAGGAATATGAATGCATGTTTGTATATTTCTTTTTGTATGGTTAGATTAAGTTATATATGAATATAGCAAAGGTCTATCTGCCTATGGGAGGGGATGCCTTCATGGAGGACTTTTTTTAAGGGAAACTTGTTTGTATTCATGTTACGCACACGGAAATCCACAAATACCAACCATGCAATCAGCTTGTTTATCTGGAAATAAACCTAAGTCAAACTCCCAACATTCAACAGTCTTAGCTCAACCACTGATGAGACTGAGCCACTGACTTTTTAGAAAATATAGAGTATCAAAACAGCTTTAAAATGCATGTTCTGTTTTTAGGAAAAGTAAGAAACTGCAATCTACATGCTGATAGTCCTGTTGATTTTATTTTTAATGCAGACAACAATGAACATAAATTGAGAAATTTTGTAAGTGTACTGAATATTATATTCTAATTATGCTAAAAGTATAAAGACTAACACTTTTTCTAAAAGGTTGCTAAGAAATGCAGATCACTGTCAAATAATTTAATAATTGTTGTCAAATAATTAAGGTGGCTCACCTAATAGGTGGGCCACCTTTGCCTCCTATGAAGGGACAGACAGTTACAACCATGCCTTATCCAGAATTTGAACCCGAGTCCTTTGGTATTTATTACATTTATTGTCAAATAACTTTGTTATACTGAAGAGTAACACTTCTGTAATATGGAAGATTATGCCTTGTCAGTCGGCAATAACTTTCATTTTGCCATAACAAGCATTTTTATTCTTAAGATGAAAATTTTTACATTTGCAAAATTTTCTTATTTGCCTGAGCTAACCAACTATCAAAATTGTCGCTTCTAGTCTTTCTTTAATTTTAAATTTTAATACAAAAACTGAAAACTAAAGTAAGTTCCTAAATAGTCCAAACTCATGTACCTTTAATGAACAAATGATCATTATTTACATCAATCAATTAAAGAAAATATAAAAACACCCGATATTTTACTTCAATAGTTTGCAACAGACTGAAAAAGGAAAATATTGAGACATGTAACTTAAAATTTAAGTATTTAAAAGTAGTTTAAAAATTACAGCTGAAATGAAACTACTCATGACAATCACCTCTGAAAGCAGCCAACTTTTCCAAGAGAAAAGCATTCAATGTTATTAAAAATCAAATCATTAAAATAACCTCCACAGATGATCAAAATAAGTTGAAATATGGATAGAAATCTTAGGAAATTTCAGTGAATATTACTTTGAAAGGCAGAAAGCCCTCCCCCCAAAGAAATCCTCTTTTCTTATTTGGTGTTTATTATCTAAACAATTCAAAATTACATCTAAGTAATTAATTATCAATATTTTTTGTTCCCCTGCTCCTGATGGTGGGCCCTCAGCTGACTTCAGCTTGGACACTACTAAGGCCAGAAGCGATGATCACTTTATTATGGAAACACCTCATAGGTGGGCCACCTTTGCCTCCTATGAAAGGATGGACAGTTACAAACATGCCTTCTCTGGAATTCGAAACTGAGCCCTTTGGTATTGCACTAAGCTCCCCTAACCACTATATTGTCTGGGTGGCTGAGTAAATGTCACAAAATCGTAATTCTTTAGAACTCATACCAGTGTTCAAATTAATTGCACACCTGAAATTTTAATAAAAATCAAACAGATCAAATAGTTTTGTATAAAAATTATAGTTCAAATTAATTGCACACCTGAAGTTTTAATAAAAATCAAATAGATCAAATAGTTTTGTATAAAAATCAAACAAATTTTTTGTATGACTAAAATCACTGTACCTTCTTAGTATTATGGCCCATGTTATGTAAACAGTGTCAAGATTATCAACACAACCACCAATACATGCCACTGTTCAAATGGACAGCAGTCCTACTGAGGATTATTTATAGCGCAGAAGCTCCAAATGAAAAGCATGTTGCCGAACCCATTTCTTTCTTTCCAAGATAAATTTAAAAACAATTTTTTTTTTTAACTAGAAGTAAAGGTGATGCCATATTTTTCTTTCAAAGCACATCTTACTTCATATTTCAATCAACAAAAGCATTTGATGATGCAATATGAAAAACTGCAAGTGATGGAAAAACACAAATTTTGACAACTGGCTCATTGATTTCAGAATACTATTTGTAGCATCCCAGCAGTTTTTTTAGTGTTAGCCAGAGGAACTGATGTCAAGCAACACAGCTTTATGAAAATACAACTACTGACTGGAACAGTTTAGGAGCGAGGTGCGTACATCTAATCCAACAACTGGATACGTAAATAGCTGGCACTGAATTAACATTAAAAAAAGGGGGGAAATAGGGGCAAAAACAAAGACAGCAGGGTTCTTCTACAATACTGGATATTTGGTGGGTTATACTGAGAAAACTGGCAAATTATTTCTTGCTCAGGTTATGAACAGAGAGCCAAATACACTTGCAGCAAAAATTGTCAGCCATGTTCAGACCACAGATGAGGCATTTTACTGTGAACCAAAAATTTAATTTTGTTGATCCAACAGCCAAACTGTTGAAAGACTGCAATGCTTTGCCAAGTGGTGGAATAAAATTCAGGACACCAAAGTTCTCCTTTATCATGAGTCTTACCCTGTTGAGTTCATTTGGCAAAAGTCTTTGAATGAATAAATGCTTCTGATGCTATATTAAAAGCAACTGTGGAAACAGGGCAGTGACAATGTGTACATGAGAAATAAACATGAATTTAAGAATAATCCCGTCACTACTTGGCATTTAAAAGATGGTAGCCACAATAATAAGAAAGTAGCAAATCATATGAACTCATTTTGATAGTTGAATCAGCATCAAGAGAATTTTGTAAATGTCTTACAGAAGTTTCATATTATATATCTGATTCCAAATCTATATAATCATTAACGAATTACATGCTATTCTCAGTGCAAATTAATTTTTACTAATGGTACAGTGTAATTTTTAACATATTTTCTAAAATAATATTAAAAAATACATCAAAATCAGCCTACTTGGAGGAAAAAATGGATACTCTTCCGCTCCATAATCAGAAATGTATGTATGCATACATGAAGGTGTGTATACATGCATATACATATTCATACATTTCTAAATACAGTCCTGATAACATAAGTTCAAAAAAGCAATGCAAGTGAATGATAATTACTGCACATTTCCAAAAGCAACTAAACCTGCTGGATTATAATAACTCATTGTCTTAACTGCTAGCAAAATTCATAATTATAATCATTGTAAACTAAAAAAACAAAGAACAAAAATAAAGAAAATATGTCCAAAACAATAAAGAACCAAAGAAATGAAGGGTACTTTTCCATTTCGCCAGCGCAAATCTCGCCAAGCAGATTTTATTGGCGACAATGCATAACACACACATAAAAAATGTTAACAAATATTGGTTCTAAGAATTTTTTATTTTGAAAGCATAAACATCATAATATTGTTTAAAATTTTGTAAAAAGCCAATAAAAAAGACAATAAATTTGTAAAAGGGCATTAAACTGCACTACAAAAATCTAATTCTCTCTGTAATTATCTACATTAATTTCAAGTTAAATCTTAATTTGGAATACAAGTTTAAGAGCAAGAACTATTTCAATTCGTACGAATAGCTTACTCAGAAATTATGTAAAAACCACACTGCTTTGCTTCGCTAGTGCATTCTAATTAGACTTGATGAATTTAACCCTTGACTTTGCCTTTTCTATAATTTCGCCTTCGGGTGAGCGTTGTGATTGCATCCTAATCAATGTAATTACTGCGAATGGCCTTAGGGCATAAAATTAAACTATCTGGTAAAAATTCTTTGTAATTCTATCAGGGTTCGTACACATTTCCTTACATGAAAATTAAGGACTTTTAAGGACCATCAAAGAAAAAACTAAGGACCTATCAGAAAAAAAAAAAAAAAAAAGAATAGAATAAAGCAATTATCCATACAACCGACTTCATGCTTGTAATTTCACTTTAAGAAACTAACAGAAGTGTGTATTATGCACTATTATTAAATTCAATTTAATACTTACCATAAAACAATTTTGAAAATTAAACTAACTCCCTACAAGTTATGAAGTAGATAACATTAAATTAGGAACATAATTTTTTGAAAAACGTGTATAAGTGTATTTTACAGTAATAACAGTCACTATTTTAGAGATTTGCATGATTATTATTTAACTTATTTGATATTTATTTAAACACAGTCAACTACTATTATAATCACAATGTAAGAATATTTTGAAGATTTAAATAACTGATTTGTAAACATACAATTTATTTCCTTGGTTTTTTGAAAGATACTAGATTTATAAACTGTACAATAAAAGATACAAACATTTGTGCTTTTTTAAATCTGAAATCTTTCAGCTATTTTAACATCTAATTTATTTATTCTTTCCTTTCTGTTAACTATTCTTCTAAGTTCATTTGCTTTGATAAACAAATCAATGTTCCTGCTGGTCTCAGTTTCATCTGCTAAAGCATCTACTTCTTCATTAATATTTTTAATGTCCCTTTGAAGAAATTTTTTTTCTTCTGCTTCATATAATCAATTTCTTCCTCAATAATATTTCTTTTCCTCTTTGAATTTTCAGATTTAGTTAAAGATTTTTGTCTTCTAAATACTGAACTTCTAAATAACAAACTCCACTTCTTGCAGAAGCTGCTGCTGATCTCATTTCTTTATTAATTTCGATATTAAGAACACCTCCAGAAAATTTTATGTAATCAAATACTGTGCATTGAAAATGTATGATGAATCACTTAAATTTTCAATTTCAATTGCTTTATTTACAGAGAAGCCCCTTTCCACAGAGCCTGTTCATGTGACAAGATAAGAATACTTGTGAATACTTTAATAGTGAAAATATACATTTTTTACTATATTATATATATAATATATATATATATATAATTTATTTCCTAAACAATATTGATTAATTGATTATATTATATAAGTTTAATTAAAGTGGAATTATTTTAAAAGAGTGAATCCATACTGATAAGTTATATTTTAAAAGATGTATATACAAAGTCCGAGATCCGGACATCCAATATCTGGAATAATCTAAAATCCGGACCTCAAAGCCACCACCAACCAATTTTTTAGGGCTTTTTTGAAGGGAAGGGATATGCTTTATGCACACGCATTAGATTTTTTTCCTCATCATAAAAAAACATGTCGGAAATCCCGATTCTTAATCTCAGTTTGGCGCTAAATAAAATATCTCATTATTGAAGAAATAATTATTTTAGCATAAATTTGTGTGATTAGTAACCTGACTCCATAGTTGCGTATCTGCTTGGCATAATCTCAAACCGAAACATTTGTTAATTTTACACGAACTAATATTTTATATCGTTGATGCCGAAATCGCGAATCATTATTTATTGTATTTTGCTTTCATCACCGCATGTTTATCAACGGATGACAACTTGAGTGATGAATCATGCAGCGACGCCAAATAACAGAGTATTATCCAATTACAGATTTAAGTTTAATGCGCTAAAATGTTGACAAGGGGAGATTTAGCAGAAATTTCTTTCCTTATGCTAAAAATAGATTTTGTTAATGATGCTCATAGAACAAACGATTATATTTAGTGCTATTTGAATTAAGAATAACTGATTTGTTATTCACATAAAGCCAGAACCAGCGCCAGAGCTCGCATGGCCGCACCAGGCGGCAGAATTTAGCGAAGTTAAACAGAAGTTTTTCATTGCGATGACAATGCCCAATCATCAATCAATTAACGGAGGGCGAAGTCTGTAGTATGGTTCTAAATCCAGAAAATACAGCTACCGATAGTGAAGAAAGTAACAGAGAGGTTACTGAACGAGAAAAAAATTTTGATTGACAAGTTATTCGGAATTCTCGACACATTAATTACAGGACTTGAACAATGGAACTTAATAACTGAACAAGAAATTATACGAGGGCTATCCAGAAAGTAGATTACGTTTTGGAATAAAAAAATAAACAAAGTATAGGAAACAAATTTTATTATATACAGATGAAAGCCACACTCAAATACTACTTTTCTACATAGTCACCATACAAATTAAGGCATTTATCGTAGCGATGTACGAGCTTGGAAATTCCTTCGTCGAAAAATTCGGCCGCCCTGCGCCTTCAACCACTTCGTTACCTCTTCTTGCCTTCCATCTTGCACAAAACTTGTGGTAACCAAGCTTTTCGCTGATGATTTCGTGCAACAAACTTCGCGAAATTTTGGGAAAACTCAAAGAAAGTTCCGTTATTGTGAAATTTCGATTTTCACGGACTTTAGCATCGACTTTTTCGAGAAGTTCGGCGGTCACTATGCTGGGTCTCCCCACTTCGATCTTCGTCGTGAACATTGGTTCGGCCATTTTGAAATCTTATGACCCACTGACGCACTCCACCTTCAGTGATAATGTTGTCCCCATACACTTCACGAAGCTGCCGATAGATTTCTATCGGTTTTACAGTTTTTTTGCAGTCAGAAAACCTTATTACTGAGCGCACTCGCAGCTCGCGGGTTTTCAATTAACGCAGACATTTCAACCGTCACAGTCTCTGAACGGAGCACACAGCCCGAACTCTCACTAGCACGGCTAATCAGACTGAGCTGCGCAACGCTCTGACCCCAGATGGCCGCGCTAGCCCGCCCCTAGCGGACACGACGAAACGTCATCTACTTCCGGATGGCTCTCGTATGTCTATAGTTTAGTCTAACGTATTAGCAGAGAAACAAATCACCACTCACATTGAAAGAATGTTTAATAAAGTAAACATATAAATATTAAGCCCTTTCTTTGTAATTTTGATACCTTTTAAATCATAAATGCTTCATTATTTCATAAATCAGATTTCATATTTTTCAATTGTATAATTTCTACGTGACATCGGTAGATGAAATGATCTAATATCCGGAAAATCCAAATGGGGATCGACGAATCCCGATGGATCCATACTCTCTTTTGTCCTGTTAACTAAAAATTTATAAGACGGAATTCATATTTTCAGTTAAATTCTATCAATAACGTTAGTAATCATGAAAGTTCTTTTGCCCTAGTTAATTCAGGAAATTAGTTTCAATTATTGTTTTCAGCTTAAAGCTATTCAAAATTTTACTTTCAACTAATATTGGTATCGCCATTAGCACATTATCTTACTATCAACAACAGAGGTTTAACCAAACTTAATTTGTCTACTGAAGCTTAAAACGTATTTCCGAACTTCACTTTTTCTCGGCTAGCGTTACCGATTTGGCCTTGGTGACCTAACATCGAAATGAGCCAACAGATTTCCTTCCTATAACAACCCTCCGCAGACATAACTCATAATCCCATATCCCTACATATAGTATGGGAACAGAGATAACTCCGTATAAGGTGATAAAAATTATTTATGGCTTAATTAAAACAAACAAGAATTAAGCAAGCAAACCTTTAAAACAAATTGAAATGATAAAACGAAACTTAATTTTCATGTAAATTTTCAGCTCTGACTCTCCCATTCTAGAAATTTCAATTTGTTTCAGACAAAGACCGCATTTAGCTTTAAAAGCTTTGTCATCCATCAATATCCAGTCTTTGTAGTCAGCTTGATGAGGCCACAGCTTATTGAAAATGCACTTTCCAGGCTTCTCGTTCCTATTGGCGTCGGAAGGGTTCTGGCCTTCCAGGTTGGGACTGCTCTAATTTTGGGAAATATTTTCAGAATCCCCCACCCTTTTTTTTCTCGAGCACCTTCATCATCACTTTTGCCTCTTAAAGAACTCCGGCTTCAGCTTCGTCACAATCGCCTACATGATGATCACCCGTTTCGAAAGATTGGGTGAATAACCAATCATCACCGTACTTTCGTATCGGGTAGCTTTTCTTTTTTTTTTTTTTTTTTTTAATCGTTTGCAACGCAAATCCGCCAACGATGATTAAGAGCCAGTAATTTAAACTTCCATATTCAAGAGAATCTAATTCACACTAGAAGGCAATCATTAGAATGATAAGAATTCAATGAGCAATAAGGACCGTTATTCACTTTGGCAAAATTAGGACTTTACGGACACAAATCATTTTTGAAAAATATAAGGCTTTTAGGACCGTACCCCCTATCTATGCCAGTACGAAGAAAATCAATCGCAAGAATGGTGCGACTTGTTTTGAAAATGAGGCGTAAAAGGTTACTAGCGAGGATATTCGGTTTGGTATCAGTTGTACCATTATTGGCGACTTTATCGCCTGCGCCGGCGAAATGGAAAAGTAACAAATTAAGCTTCTCATACAGCATATATTTAAATAATGATCTTTAAAACCATGTGCATACAGTGTTACGATCAAAACACTTAAAGGATTAAAAAATAATAGAGCATAACTGAATTCACCTTTAAATATAGAATACAAATTTGCTACCTTTAGATATGGTGAAAGTGGCATAAATTCTTTAAAATTACAAATACAACCATAGTGCTAATCTCATAAAATATGCATCATGCCCTGTTCATGCCCAAATAAGTAAGTATTAGTAACAAAATTATAAATCTGTAAGGTATATTTTAATTTTATAACAATTATTTTAAGTTTATGCCTATTTCCTATCCTTCCTAGCTTCAGCTTACAACTTCCTACCAGAATGAGTTTTTAGAATTGTGTTAAATGCAAATGAGAAGAATAATAAAATTTAAGTCAAGTTCCACTGACTTCGCCAGAGAGAATTAGGATTCCTGAATAGCACACATTTGCCTTTGGGCTACATCTCTCTAAGCTGTTATTACACTCAGCCATATTACATATATCTTTTGATAGCTTCACTGGCTAATTTAATATTATAGCCCAACTAGTTTAGAATTGTGTTAGCTTCTGCTAAATCTCTTTAGTTAGTCATTATTTCTTACTTGCCCAAGTGGAGGCTTTGCTGTACGTCCTGAGAAAGGGGCCGACTGTTAAATCTTTTTTGAGGAAATAAAGGGGAATTAAACCTCTTGAGTTTACATTTTCTTCTCTTGCTTAACGATTATTCGCTTAGCATTTTACTAGGTTCCTTGACATCGCATTTAACAAGATTAAAAGTGAAGAACTCTACCAATCAACAGCACTTTTTTTTTTTTTTTGAAAATGACAGATTATTTTACAATATTTTAATACGCAACACAGATTTAAAAAAATGAAGGAAAATTACTTACGGCGTATAAATTTGTCTAATGACTCCACCCAATATCTCCACCCAGCACTTGTGGAGCCACCGCCATGAGTAAACCAAATCAGGGTACTGTCCACATTATCGGGATGAGGAAGTGGTCGGAACCCCAGTCCTGAAAGTAGTACATCTTTATTTTAAACACTGTTTCTTAAATAATATACCACAAAAGAGCATATATACATTAATATCAATTCAAAATTATTTAATTAATTATTAACAAACAAAATATATTAAAAACTAATGCTGGAAAAGATATTTCTCATGAGCATTATAAAAGATGATAACTACTCTTGGTACTTATGTATTAATGTAATCAATCACCTTGGTGCAATTTGGTCACTTTTTACAGATGAAAAGATAAAAATTACGGTACTTTTCCATTTTGCCAGCGTAGGTGGTCAAAGCCGCCAATAATGGTACAACTGATGTGAAACGGTCATGCGTCGATTTTATCATCCTATGGTGCTCTGGAATTTATTGTAAGAACAGCTTCCGTGGTGTTTCAACCAAGTCATCTTTAAAATTCGCACAAACTGTCTGTCTCCATTAACGAGGATTTTGTGAATAAAGGACAGCAGGAATAATGTGGTGCTCGAGTAAACTTTGGATGCTGGACGATCTGTCGAGCTGTCAAATCGCCTTTTTAATCAGTACACGAAGGTATTCCCGATTATTGGTAGTGTTGCGGTATGGACTTCACTCCGTGAGTGATTTTTTTTTTTTTATTTGTTTTACTTTAATAATTTTCATAATACTCAAGCAAGAGTCGTCATTTTAATGTTTGTGAAATTTGAGCAATTACTTAAATTAATTAATCGATGTGGAAAATCAGTGTTCTTAAAGGGATTTCCTGATAAATACTTAAAGTTTGAAGATGAAATGGGAGAATCTAGTGTTAACTATGATCGTAGGATTTGATATGTAACTTAATTATGTAAATGTAATTTGGTTTTGTATTATGTGTTATTTTGCATAGAAAAATAGTGGTAGGGATACTGACATTACCCAGTATTACTATAAATAGAATATATTCAGAATTTCATAATGTCATTTAAAATTTATTGAATTTGTGTATTATCTTGTTGTATTTACTGTGTCGTCATGTCCCTCCCTTTGTTTGACCGGGCTTTAAGAAACATGGAGTTTTATTGAATTGGGGTTATTGATTTTTCCCTAGTGGGCTTCACAATGCGCCCTATTGCACTAAACCAATACCACTTTAGAATTGATTGTTCAATATTATATATGAATGTTATGAATGATGAATAGGATTATAGATTTTTTTGTTAGTTTTGTCCGGCACCACGTGTTGAGTCAGAGTTAAAGTTTTAAAAAAGTATAAAACACTAAATTATAAGATATTCAACAACAGCTGGCAAATTCCATAAGCTCATTAAAAGCAAATTTAAGGCCAAAAAACATTAAGATTTGTTTATAAAAATTCTTGGAACCTGTAATAGAACAAAAAAGAATGTGTTGTTTTACAGAAAGATTGTTATAAGGACAGTTGCCAAAAGAATAGTTATAGGCATGGCTGCCAGAGTTTAGCACATTCTGAAAGTTTTGCAATTTCTACTAGGGTATTTGTGTTAATACTGTTATGAATTCTGTACTCAGATAGCTATTGTTAGTAGGATTATAATTAAAATTGTTCTATTTCCCCATGCAATGCAGCACATGACGAGTTTTAAGAGAAAGCTATGCCAGAAAAGTAAATATACAGAAGCACGTGCATTTAACACTGAATAAAAGCTTATCTTGGTAATTTATATTTTATTTAAATAAATGTAATTGACTACTATGTTAACTGTAACCATAATTCTACTGTTTTGCTTTCCAGAAATCTCAACTACTAGAAATCCCTTGTGACTGATTGAAAGCTATAAAAAGCAGACAGAGAACATCTCAGCTCAGTTGTTTAATTAGCTGCTGTTGTTACTGTTGTGAATTTGCAGTAAGATCGGATTAGCTTTCTATTTAAATGCACTGCGAATTGCAGTCTATTGATTATTACTGCCTACATTTAATTTTGTTATTCAGAATTATTTACCCTTTAAATGAAATATTTCTACGTAAAATGCGTTATTGGTAAGCCTTTTGCCCGATATAAAAATTAGCTCTTTTTCCCTGTCATTTACAAAATCACACCTATAATACCAAACATAATGCAAAATATTAAAATGGAAAAAAAAAAAAAAAAACTGCCCTTAAAAATTGACAACAGTCCAACTTGCATAGTGGCATCCGAAAGTACAGAGAAATTTTACATTCTGCATTACAATTGCATTTATTAATTGATCAACAGTACCTAAAACAAATGAAATAGGTTAAAAAATTGTTAATAAAATTATGTAATTAAAAATTTGCCTGAGCATTTTATTAAAACACTTTATCATTATACGTTTATTTTACTAATAACTTTGTACTGAGACAGCATTCATCTAGGTACTTAGGTAGGTTAGAGTAGATGGAAGGGTGCCCTTTGGATTATCGCCAAGTTGTTATTTCATATATGGTAACCTGAGCAGTTGAATGCTATGGAAACCCTATTATGACATAATTCGTTGTGTGATTACAGTGAATTTGGATGATGGGATGTATTTTGAATATGTTCTTATTTGTGGTTTACACGCTAAAATGGCTGAATGTTGTAAGATTAATTCAAAGTTTTTGTATGATTCGGAATGAAAGGGGGAAAAGCATTAATTAACTGGTGTGTAAATGTAGGTTCACTTAGTTGCCATTATAAGTGTCCTATTTGTAGGAAGGAAATGCGTATGGTCGAATATCAGAGAATACCTGCACTACAGAGGATATTTTTTTGTGAATTTATGTGGCGACACCAGTATACAAATTCTAGTTCAGATAATTTTAGGAAGTTTTTGGATGCTGTTAAGGAATGTTGGCTAAGCGGAAATGCGTATAAGTAAGTGGATATTTCCTTTGTGTAATGCTAAGATGAATGTCTCTTACTTTATTTCATTGTTTGACTTAAAATGTAGTTTATTGAGATTATATATTTTTTGTTTGTTGCTCCTTTGACTTTTTAAGTGAATATAGATTGACGTGTGCATGGATAAAGTCAAGGGAGTGTGCAATGCCTAGTTTGTGCTATTCTCTGATTTTTTTTTTTTAAGGTCGATGTGTACATGGATACCAAGTTTATGGAATTCTTTATTTATTGTTATTTTGGATTTGTGTAGCAGCGGCGATTTATTTAAGACAAAATAACAAATCAAAGAACTGCACAAACTCTGTGTCCATGTACCGCCAATTATATTAACAAGAGAGATCCGTAAATATATTTTTACCCTTAGGTAGTAACACAACCACCTTGGTGCAATTTGGTAATTTTTTACAGATGAAAAGCCAGACGTTACTTATCAGCTACAAGTTTGTCATTTTCGTGACATTTAAAAAAAAGATTAGAAAACTATTGCTATTTAGATAAGATGATAAGCATTATCAACATACAGGGTGTGAATCAGAAGTTTCAAGACTGGTTCGTTTCTGAGTAGGGGAGCACGCGCGGACCGGTTCCGGTGGGTGGGGGCAGTTGCCTCCGGAAGCCTGGAGAGTGCACATCGCTTGCAGCGTGAGTGCATGTCATTCACCTCGGTCCAAAAGTGAGAGAGGTGAAAATGGAGCAATGTTATGCAATTAAGTTTTGCGTGCAACTGAACAAAAGTACCACGAAGATTCAAGAGATATCACGGTATGATTCAAGAGGCCCTTAAGGTAGAAGCCATTCACCTCGGTCGAAAAGTGGGAGAGGTGAAAATGGAGCAACGTTATGCGATTAAGTTTTGCGTGCGACTGAACAAAAGCACCACGAAGATTCAAGAGTTTTATCACGGTATGATTCAAGAGGCCCTTAAGGTAGAAGCCATGTCATGTGCAATGGTTTTCATGTGGCACAAACGCTTCAAAGATAGCCGCAGGAATGCTGAAGACGACGACCGCTCTAGAAGGCCATCATCAAGCCGAACGGATCAAAATGTGGAGAGAGTGCGGGAACTTTTAAACAATGATTGTTGTTTTAGTACTAGATTAATTGCCGATGAACTGGGACTCAGTCAGAGTATGGTGTAGACGATTGGAGAATTTGATGATGTGAAAAGTGCAAGCCAAAAGTTTTGTCGGTGGATCAGAAGAAATGGCGCATGACTGTTTGACAGGAACGGTTGAATGTTGATCCAAACCTTCTGGAGAAAGTGGTTACTGGTGATGAGACCTGGGTCTACGAGTACGATCCTGGTCCTAATCGTCGAGCTCAAATGCACAGGCTTCCTCGCCGAAGCACAAGAAAGCTCACATGAGCAATCGCATGTGAATGCGCTTATTATTTTATTTTTATGATAAAGGAGTGATCACAGGATTTTGTTGCTCACGTGCAACTGTCCACAGGTGACTTTTCGCTAAGTGCTCCGCTGCTTGAGGTTGATCGCCCGCGTTTAAGGTGACTGTATTCCCACCACGACCGTCCCACTACACGCCGCCGCCAAGTTTTGGTCACCGTTCAACGTGACAAAACTGCCACGCACGACTTGGCTCCAGGGCTTTTTCCTCTTCCCGAATCAAGACAGCCTAAAAGGAAACTTCGACTCATCAACACCATCCAGAAGGCTTCGACAAGAGCCCTTGACAGCATGACGCCCGAGCCTTACAAAGGGCTTTGAACACTGAAACGCTGGCATCGCTGTTGATCGAGGATCATTTTTAGAATTTTAGTCTACTGTACATTAATGTCCAATCATTTTATTCGACGTGTGGTGTTGTGGATTCAATTATGGCAAAGCACACTAGGGCTATCTGCCTAAGGGGACTAGTTCTGAGGTAAGTCTTGAAACTTTTGAATCACACCCCTGTATTTTACCAATTTTAAATATAAATTTTAGTGATTAAATGACGATTTTGTGATGCATTAAAAAATAAAACACACTCATCTCCAAATGTTTCTGCAATTTTTTCATATATTCTTTTCCTTAAGTATACAGCAGCTCGTTTTCACTAAAAAAAATCTGAGAATATCAGAAACTCATCTCACAAACCTTGGGTACACTAGCTATCTACCAAATTTATCTCTTCATTGTTCTCTATAGAAATTTATGTGCCAAAATTCTATATTCCTGCAGAAATTTTACGAATGTTTCTTCTATTGCTATCAAATTCTATACGTGCAACTAAGTTTAAGGCAAAAAATATCACATATCCAAAAATAGCAATGTTGCTTGACTGAAGAATTATTATTAAAATGGTTGCCAAAAGTGTGGTTCTGCAAACGATTTCCAGAGTTTGATACATTCTGAAAATTTCACAAATTCTACAAAAGTGGTTGCAGGAACACGCAAGTACTCTCTATATGAATGATCAGTAGAGTTACATTATTGAGACTGTATGAAACTGTTGTAAAAGTATATGCATATAAACGGCAGATCTATCAAAGGTGCTGATTTAATCACAAATTTTGTGTAAATTTAGATTTTCATACAAGCATGTGAATTTTTGACTGCACAGAAATTTGGATAATTCTAGCTTTTTAAGTCTCCACTGAAATACTGGTTTAATTTAATTTTTTTTTTTTTTTTTTTTTTGTAACTCTATGGATCAAACAATTATTTGCTCAAAGACAAAAAGTCTGAAATGGAACTTTTCCAAAGAAAAAGCATTATTTGTGATAGAAAATTATGCTTGAAGAACCACAAGATGAATAATACAGAAAATATCAATGAAAATCTATAGAACGAAATTGTGAACAAAATCAATATAAAATTTTAAAAAATGAAACATTAAAGGAAATGTGCATTTAAGATTATGACAAAAATTCATATTAAAATAACATACTCACCAGGATTTGTTCCAATCGATGTATCCAACTGCCATTTAGGATGATAATTATCCAAAGTTTGATAAAATATTAAAAGCATAAAGTCAAAATCCTGCTAGTAGAAATAAAATATGACGTAGAATATTGAAATTTCCTAAATAAAATTAAAAAATTATTTTTTTAAGAAAATTGAAGTAACAAACATAAAGCTTATATTTTAATCACAAAATTTATCTTGGTATTAGCATAAAGGCATAGGCAAGAATTCATACAGAGGAAAAAGACGCTTTTCGTACATTTTTAATTATGAAATTAAATTATTTATAACATTTCAATCAAATAAAATTGAAAAACAATCTTAGTTATGCAACTTTTTTAAAAACTACATTTTGTGCTGAAAATGGATTTCTGTTGTTTTAGATATATTTTATTTACATCAGGGACTGGATTTTTGTGCTTTTTATATTGCTATTTAGAAATAATTGGTACTTTGCGTCGCCGGCGCAAATCTGCCAAGCAGACTGTGGCGCAAAATACAGATACACATAAAAAAATTTAACAAATGGTTTTTTTTTTTTATTTTGAGGCAAACCTTTTAATATGGTTAATTTGTAAATAAGAAAAAGCAAAAAGCAATTTAAGAATTGACTTGATTCATGGTGCAATCCTGATCGCCGATTCGTACACGTGACCCAAGTGATTATCTCCGTAAAACGCTACAAAAATCTAATTCTCTCGGTAATTATCTACATTAATTTCATGTTAAATCTTAAAATTAAATCTTATGGAATACAAGTTTACTCAGAAAGTACGTAAAACCGCAGTGCTTTACTTCACTAGTGCAATCTCATTAGATTTGATGAATTTGGTGAGTGGTGTGATTGCGTCCTAATTAATTACAGCGAATGGTCTTAGGGCATAAAATTGTTCTATCTGATAAAAATTCTATGTAATAGTATGCCAGTATTGAAAGAAACAATCCATCTGATAAGAAATGGATGTTACTTGTTTTGAAAATGAGGTGTAAAAGGTTTACCAGCGAAGATATTCCGTTTGGCATCAGTTGTACCATTATTGGCGACTTTATCGTTTGCTCCGGCAAAACGGAAAAGTACCAATAATTTAAATAATGATTTTAATTACATTAAAACTTTCTTTTTGGGGAAGAAAGGGGACTCAATAGTTTACTCCAGCATTAACTTTAAAAATTTTAATTATTAAATGGCTTTATTTAATAGAAGTATGAAGACAGCAGTAAAACAGTTAGTACTGAACAGTAAAATACCTTGCAAAGAGCATGAGCAAAGGATGTGGTGTTTAAGTGGTGTTAGAAACAATCTTTGTGAAAATATGATTACTGACCAGAACAGTTTTGTCAGAGAGGCATTTTTTCTACATTTAATCCAACAATCAAATAAGAGAATGTATGGCCATAAAAGAACACAGCAGGATTCTCCCACAACAGAAGAGATTTGGTGGGTATGTACAAACATATGCATTCTTGTTCAGGTTCTAAAAACAACCCTCTTGGCAAAAATCGTGGACCATGTACAAGAGAAATCAGTTTATTCAGACTGATGAAGATAACAAAGAAGCAAGAAAAAGGCTAGCTTTGCTCATTCACTTCACTGTGAATCATAAATATCTTGCAGAATTCATGTGGCAAAAGTCCTAGGAACAAGAAAATGCTTTTGGGCCATACTGAAAGGAATTGTGGAAATATGGCAACCACAAACTTTATGTGGGAAGTACACATAAACTTAGTACCATTATGATGAGGGTAATAAATATAAAGAAGTACTACAATTTCTAATAAAAGGATGTTTAAAGAGCAATTTATTATATTTTTACATGTAATTCATTTCTATAAGAAATATTGACTAACATATTTTGTTCCCCCTTCTGGAATTATCTATTGCACCAAGCAAGCTGCTGAAGAACTACAATTTTTCAGTACATCAGCTTAACATTGGTATTATATTATCGAAAATGTTATACATAGCATTTTTGAATGTCAAAAATGCTTAACAACCCTCGCAATTTGTTGAATACTCTCAATGACAACTGCTTTGATCAAGTCACGAGATCTATTTTCTTCATATCCACTGTAACTGATTATTTATCATGTAGTTCTAAAATAGCCATTTAATCATTCTTATAACAGTCATATGCCCATATCTACAGACTTAGAACCTACGGCCTCACAAATCGCGGGAAAAGTCCTTTGAAGTTTCAACATGCACGTGGAGTGATAAACTGTATGGGACTAAAGGTGAAACCAGACACTGAAATAAGCTAAGCACTATACTCCCACAGTAATCATTATTATACAGAAATCTATATAATATCCTAACAGATGGCGCTAAATGAGATGGATATGTAAATAATCATCTTTAGAACCTCATATATATTTTCAAGTTAAGGCAATCCTCAGAAATGCACTTGGGTTTTCATCCGCAGAGAACCCGTTGGCGCCGTTGCATTTTTACTCGCCAGTCATCGTATGTCATCGACGCTGAGCGAGCCGAGCCGTAAACTGATTTTTAGTGCATTAAATTCATGTTAGCAGACAACACTAATTAGCTATGGTAGTAATTTACAGATAATAAGCCTGTAGATGTAAAACGACCGGTTTTAACGTGATAACGATCAGTGCACAGAAAGAATATATTAAGGCATTAATACAATATATAAACATTTAGAACGGAAATAAAAATTCTTTAAAAAATTAAATTAAGTATTAAGGTTTGAAATTACCTCGTTAAATGAAAAAATTTGTCTTAAATTCCAGTTAACATAGAAAACATACATTCCGTACACCAGCAGCGGTTTCTAATTTTTGATGACCATGTGATGCCTCAAACTATTCTGTCATCTTAGATAATCAATAATTTTTTTATTTCAATTTAATCATCTAGTTTATGTCACCCTGCCATTCCGAAGGTTTGGTTTGAAAAGCATTAACAAACATTATCTGTTAAAATTTACGCCATAAAATGATTTATTCGCATAATTTTTTAGATGACAATACCATCATAAAATAAAGCATTACTTATTATTTAAAATGCACATGACATTTTTTGCGGCCCTACGGAAACAAATTAGGTTAGAGGTTGGTAAACCTCATGGTTCTTAGAGCTGTAATAAACTAAGAACCACAACGTGAACAGCCAAAGCCCCCTTAAGCTAATGCAGGCGCTTTGAAAGCGCGTACACATAAGCATTCCCACCCTCCTTCATCCGACCGAAACCGTCTCTACCTACAAAAATATTTCTATCATTCTGTTAAGCGAACACGACAGGATAATTCACAACATGACCGGCAAGACAGCACTGGATAAATCCGCTGGGTTACCAGGTTTGAACTATTATCGCCAAAGTTGGCGATGTTTACATTTACCGGGTTCTCTGCGGAAGTGCTTCCTTGCACTTTTCTTAAATGATCCTTTCCCAATGAGCACTATAAAAATGTCACGACTTAGCAGTTCTCAAAGCATTTAATTTTTCCCTGTTCTCTATGTACACAGAATTTTCCATTAAATTTCTCTCATCTGCTTTTAGCAGTCTCCTTATTCTCATGAATGGTAAGAGCGTTCTAATAACACCTTAAGGCATCATTTTGGTACACATATTCCATTACAAAATCTGCTTGTTTCAGTCCCCTCCATCTCTTTTACATTTTCGCCATATATTTTCCCAGCACCTTGTGTAAATATTTTTAACAAAAAAAAAAAAAAAAAAAAAAAAACCTGAAAGCATCAGAAAACTTGGAACTGGAAATACATGCACGTTCTGTCAGAATAATCAATTGTGGAACACACAGTCGATCAACCGTGGACATACCATCTTGCGATTTCAGATGGTAGCTGAAAACGATGGCCATCACGTAGAACATGTTTTTTGTAACAAAATTTGTAAAATTGTAAAACTACACTAAAGGTGTGCCTAAATGTATAATTTATTAATAGAATGCCCTCTGATCATACTATCTGTAACTAATTTTTTTTTTTTTTTTTTTCTTCTTTTGCTGAGAAAGATTCTCATTCCGTTTAAGTCCACCACAAAATTTCACAATTTTCTGATCAATAGCTTTGCTTGTAGGCAGCTTTGAAATAAGGTACTTCAATTATAGATACCCTGTACATATATAAAATATTACATACGAAGAACTTCAGTTGTATAATTAACAAAAGCAAACATTTCAAGCTGTATGTTATGTATTAACATACAGCTTGAAACATACAGTCATTATGCATTAAAAGTTTTCTTGTAGAGGCTTTTATGTTTTTATTAAGAACACTTAAGTATCCATCCCTATCAATATGCCTTTTGATAAACTTTAAATTTCTTTTTCCAAAGGCAGCACATCACCCAAACCATTATACCTACTCCCTTGCTTAACAGTGGGCAACAGGCTTTTAAAATTAAATTCTTAAATAACATTTTGCCACCTATTAATTTGTTTTTTAGCTCGAATTAAATATTAAATTTAGATCTTTCTGCAAATAAAACATTGCTCCAATATGCTAAAATTTTATCATGGATTTTGCAAAAGCCGGACCTATTTTCCTTGTTGATGAACAATTTCTTTCTTCCCGATCGCCCACTTTATCTATTTACCTAAATTATTCTTCTAAATGTTAACTTTTAATACAAACTATTCTTCTGAATCTGCTGAATGTTTTACAGTACTAACTTTCAGGTACTGTTTGATTTTTTTGTAGAATAAATCTAAGATTCCTTGGTAGAATGTGTTCCAGACTCCAGTACATCTTCAACAGTTCCACACAGTTTGCAAAGTTTCATTACATCAATGGTAATTAAACGTTTCACATCAAGAACTTTTTTTATATATATTTTGAATACTTTAAAATCTTTAAAAAATAAGAAATTATTAAAATTTTTCACATTGTTACTCATTAATCTGTAGTGTCTTGCCATGTTCACTTCAGATACAAAACTATTAATACGTTTTGCAAAACGAATAATTTCAAAGTGCAGATGATATTCTTATAATGTATTTTCATTTAAAAGAAAAAATTGTACAAAAACATCTAAAAAAAAATTTCGAGTGTCTGAATATACAGAACTTAATGGTTAACACTTTCAGAACAAATTATTTTATTAGAAGGAACATTTTCCTGATATTTACT